TCCTCTCCTCTCCTCTCCTCTCCTCTCCTCTCCTCTTCTCTCCTCTCCTCTCCTCCTTTTCCTCTCCTCTCGTTTTCCTCTCCTCTCGTTTTCCTCTCCTCTTGTTTTCCTCTGTTTTCCTCTCCTCTTGTTTTCCTCTCCTCTTGTTTTCCTCTGTTTTCCTGAACTTCTCTGAACTTCTTTTCCGTGAGCTTCTCTGAGCTTCCCTTCTCCATTTTAACCTGCATTTCCTTCCATATTCATCTCTCTTGGAGCTTTTTCCTGCTCTTTGGCAGCCAAACCACCTGCCCCAGGTCTGGGAGCCCCGAGCACCCCGAGCACCCCGAGCACCCCGAGCACCCCAAGCACCCTAAGCACCCCAAGCACCCTGAGCACCCCGAGCACCCTGAGCACCCCGAGCACCCCGAGCACCCCGAGCACCCCTGCCCTGGGGTGCCTGTTGGACCTGAGCCACCCCAGATCCCCCCAGAGCCCTGGGAGCCGCTGGAATTCCCAGCCAGGTCCGTTCCCATGTTTTACCCTGCAGGGGACCAGGGCGATGCCGGGCTGAGGTACTTGACCTCCCCGAATGCCTGCTGACCTGGAGCTAATGTGGAGTGGAGCACAGCAGCGATTTAATGACTTGTTCCACCACACCTCGGCTGGAGGGGGAATTAAAGAGCGCCGGGGGGCCAGAGGGACTCAATTCTGGAAATCCTGTGGGTGCCCGTGTTGTCCACACCCATCCTTGTCTGCCAAACCTAAGGGAATTATTCACAGAAGTGACAGAAAACCTTAAAATATAAATTACAGTTGTGGCAAAAACCCTCCATCCAACTTCCCAAACATCTGGGTGCATTATTATCAACAATATTATCATTGGCCATTATTATCAATAATATGATATTTATTCATTCTCCTCATCATCATCACAACAACAGCAATATCAATCTCTATTATTTTATGTCTTTTATTTTATTCTTAGTTGCAACACAACTGAATTTTGTTTCTGTTCTCTTTCTTCCTTAGCAAATACTGACTGATCCTGAGGTGACCTCCCAGGAGGGCAATATAAAAAAGGTAGGATATGGCTCAGTCTTCTGGGAGTTGTTTTATTCCCTGGCTTGGAAATGCACCCGGGCACCTCTCCTCCGCTTTTGAACCAAGGTGTTGATGGCAATAACGTCGTAAAAGTTTTCCAGTGTTTGCTGTTGCTTTTTTGGATTAAGTGTTGTGGTTCTGTTGGCATATTTTCCTGTCTTTTTGCGATTCCAGTCATTATGAAAGAGAAAATAATAGTTTGAGGTGTTCCTTGATTCAGCTACAACACAAACAGATGCCAGGCCAAAGCGAAAAACCTCATTTACCTCTTTTCCAGTAAAAGAAAATGTTGGTCCTTTGTTAAAAGTGCTAAATTTTTGGAGGTCACTCCAGCATCAAATGTGGCTTATGTGAAGTCCAAGGGAAAAGGAATAGGTCTGTGCAAGGATAAAATTCAGCCCATGTGATGCATTAGTGGTGCTTTTCATCACATCGTGGGGCTCCAGTGTAACAGTGACCAGAGGAAATGTGCTCCACACTCAGCCCAGCTGCACAAATGCCTCCACTGGAGCAGGGAGGCAGCCTCAGCACGACACATTTTGGGCAGCCAGGCTGCTGTTTGAGTTGGGGTGACCCTCAGAAGAACTGAAATTAGGTTTTGTCCCATGTGGATATGTTGGTTAACAGCTTTGCTGATTAAAGCTTTACAAGTTGGGTTTGATTCGAGCTTCTCAACAGCTGTAGCTTGTGTGTCCTCTCTGAAATAAGGAGCTGGTTGTGACTCCTTGTGTGTCCTCTCTGAAATAAGGAGCTGGTTGTGACTGCTTTTATGTGCAGTTGTCTTATAAAGGATGCTCACAGTCCTGCCTGTGAAGTTTTTGGGAGCCATTGCTGCTCATCCTTCAGTCCTTGATGCTCCTCCACTCTTAAAACTGAAAGGAATCCCTCAGCCCAACAGAGTGAAATACAATCCTTGCCAGGCTCCAGAGCCAGGCTGGGAAAAGGGATTTAGACACGTGTCCAGTATGGCCTGTTCTATTCCTACCATGTTAAAAAAATAAAAAATCAGGTTTTATTTCCAAGGCTCCCAAGAGGAAGCATCCTCTGAGTGCCCCGTGACCTTGCCAGGGATCTGTGGCAACAGGGCTGAACTTTTTACCTTGGGCACCTCCATAACTCATGGGGTGTCTGTCCTGCCCCTGTGGGATCCTTTTGTCTGGACAGACGTGGTGACAAGGTGGCAGGTTCTCATTATCCCCACGCAACTCCTGCAAGAATGGAGGGAATCCTCCATGGCTCAGCTGATTCTTATTCAGTCTTTAATTACACTATCACAAATGAACTCTCCATCCCCACCTCCAGGATCTGCATTACCCCAAAGAGAGCAAGAGTTGGGTGAAACAGGGAAACACGGGACTGGCAGTTTTATATGTTCAATCCATGGGTCTATATTTAAACTTTGCGCTTTTATTTCAAGAGAAAATGTTACAAAAACTGCAGGTCTGAAAAATGCCGTGTCCTTAAATATTTCCCTGTGCAGCAGGTATAAAACTGGACAATTGTGATATTTGACAAGGGGGGAAGGCCTGGCCTTCCACTTGTGTCTTTTAAATGCATTGTAGAGAAGCACTAGTGGGAGTTTATGAGGTGATAAATTTATTGAAGGATGGGCAGTAGGGTTTTACAGCTGGGGTAAAGGAGGTCAGAGCAGTAAGGTAAAGAGTTCAAGTCTAAACTTTATGGCTTGTGAAAAGACTACTGCGAGACAGCTTTTCAGTCAGGAGAAAATGAAAACTAAAGAATGAGAAATCACTCCGGACAATTTTTGTAGGATCTCTCAATTGTTTGGAAGGAGCACTCTGGCATTTGGCTCCAGTGGCACAAAACCCTCTCGGGAGCAGATTTCCTTTTCCAGCCTCTCTAAATCATTCAGTTGTCATATCCCTGAAGACACAATAGTTGAGATTTGACTTCAATTTATTCCTATTCCTTCAGAGATGAGTTGGTGGTGAGAAGGTGACTGAAGACAAATGTAACTGGAGTGGGTGGCCTGATTTAAACTGGGAGGGGAGGAAATCGGAGCTGCAGAGCCCATAATTTCAGTGGCTCTTTTGACTGCTGCATCACAGGTTCAGAATTGGGCACTAACAAGGACTAGAAAGAGCAAAAAAAAAAAAAAAAAAAATTCCAGAATGCAGAAAAAACCCTGTAAAACCAGGAAAAAGCAGGGAAGGGAAGGTGATGGCAGTGAGAGGTGTAGGGAGATGTGCATGAAGAAACCTCTGCTTAAAACTGACCCTAGAACTACCTCTGCTCTTAAGCTCTCAGGAAAAAAACAATATTTTACATCACTTTAATGAACTGAAAGGCAGGGAAAAGTCTGCAGCACAGCAGAGCCTGTTTTGTAGTGGAATAAAACAGGCTGGTTTTGGCTTGGAGCACAAAGAATAAGCATTTCTCACTATATCTAGTATTTTTTAGTTCGTGTTAGTGTTATTTCTGCTGGGACCACTAACACCACAAAGCTGATTTCTTTGTTAGTGGTTGTCTGACAAGAATAATTCAATGTCATTGAAGGACCCATATCCAGGATCATATTTTATATCTATGCTGCTCCATGGATTGAAGTGTGGTGTATACCTAACAAGCTCCTTATATCACCTTTGCTTGCTGGTATTTAGTTTAACTTAGACAAATACAGACAAACTCCTCATCCTGTTTGTTTAATTTTAAATCATCAGCGATGGAAGCAATATTAAAACAAGAAAGTCACTTATTTTAGTTATTTCAGTGACCTGAATGAGGACACTCAGAGATAAAAACATGAATAATACCTGTGGGTTTATTGTCCCCTACTCCCAAATGTCTTTTTTTCCCAGCCCACATCCCTGCACTCTGTTTATTTTGCTTAGAAAGCAGCTTAGTGTCCTCTCCCTCTAAATTTTCCAAGCTTCTCCACCTCATTTAATAAACCAAGCAAACACCTTGTTGTCATTGTCACCGTCCCCGCTGTCATTTTTCTTTAACTTTGAGCTGAAAGATTTCCAGGAAGCAAGGCCTGTGCCCATTACACACCAGCTCTTTTTTTGTTTTATTTTTATTTTTTTTTCCCCCGAGTAGATGCATTTCTCTCCCCTCCAAGGGTCACTTTGGATGAGGTTCCAGGATGCTGGGGAAGGATTCTCTGTGTGTGCACAGCTCCCAGCCAACCTCCCCGGGCTGGGCTGTTTTTCTGACCGTGGTGACAAGGGACCTGAGGGACTTCTCTCTTCAGTAGACTCTCTATTTAGTTTCTGTTTACTTAGAGGGAATAGCCTGAGGGGCTACTGGAGAGAAAACATCTGTGGGAGATAATCTATAGAGTTATCTATCTATCACTCTTGTCGACCCTGTCTCCCCTGAGAGCAAGCTGAGAGACTTGTAATAAAAAGGCATCGCTGAAGAGGCTTTAGGGACAAATAAAGAGACATGTTAAGGGCCAGCTGAAAAAGGATAGAAGACATTATTAAAGCTCAATAGCCGTCTTATCAAAATCCAATAGGATAGGCATTTGGCAAAAGGCTTTAAATTTATTCTTTGACTTTCTGGAGAGCTTGAATTTATCCATTAACAAGAATGTGCTGCACGGGGAGCGGGAGATGCTATCGGCTTCAAAAGGGTTGGATTCAATCTGGTATTGTGCAAAACACAACAAAAACTGAAGACAAAACCAATTTTCCCCCCTCCTCGGGTTGGCCTCATTCCTACATTGCCAAATATTAGAAGCTGTAAATATAATGCTGATGAGGCTGTGGAGTAAAAGCAATTTAAGCAGAACGATTCTTCTGCGCTCACAAATCACACGGATTTATCATTAAAAATAAAGTGAATTTTAGAAAACTGAGTGTGACCAGAAATTGTGGCCTTTTAGAAAAGCATCAAGTAGCAAACAAGAAGCCCAGGTAGGAGGAAAGCTTTCAGCTCTGAAGCAAAGGCAAAACCCCAACGAGTGTTTTGCTGCTGCAGATGCGAAGAGCGGGATGGGGCCATAAATCTCCCCGGGTTTATTATTATATCCAAAATGCTACAGGTCACAGGAACCATCTGATACTTCAGGAGCGCATTGTTGGCGCGGGGATGATTGATTGATAATTATGATAATTTGCAAAATGATTATTTGGGCATTATGGCCGCGGCCTGTCCCGCCGGGTCGCTGTGAAGACATTTTTGATATCTCGGGGCCGTCAGGAATGGCCTCTGGCAAGGAGGGATGTGGAGAGGTCTGGCCGGGCTGATGAATGATGACCCAGAGGAGTCAGAAATCAGACTTTAATAAGCAGTCAGGAAGGTAGTTAGGGAAGAGCAAGGGAGCTGCTCACTGTCTTTTGTGCAGCAATTACTGGGCAGGAAAAAACCCCCCCCAGGCCTGAGCCTTGTGCACCCCCAGAGAGCAAATTGCAGATTCAAACCTGGAGCTTAAATTTCTCAAATTGCAGATTTGAACCCAGATTTTCAATTTTTCAAATTGCAGATTTGAACCCAGATTTGCAATTTTTCAAGTTGCAGATTTGAATGCGGATCTGCAGTTTTTCAAATTGCAGATTTTAACCCAGATTTGCAATTTCTCAAATTGCAGATTTGAACCTTGATCCGCAGTTTCTCAATTTGCATCCTTGAACCTGGATCTGTGGTTTTTCAAATTGCAGATTTGAACCCGGACTTGCAGTTTCTCAAATTGCAGATTTGAATGCAGATCTGCAATTTTTCAAGTTTCAGATTTTAACCCAGATTTGCAATTTCTCAAATTGCAGATTTCAACCTGAATCTACAGTTTCTCCAATTGCAGATTTGAACCCAGATTTGCAGTTTCTCAAATTGCAGATTTGAATGTGGATCTGCAATTTTTCAGACTGCAGATTTGAACGTGAATCTGCAATTTTTGAACCCAGATCTGCAGTTTTTCAAATTGCAGATTTGAACCTGGATTTGCAGTTTTTCAAATTGCAGATTTGAACCTGGATTTGAATTTGCAATTCAAATTGTAGATTTGAATGCATATTGGATTTGAACCTGGATTTGCAGTTTTTCAAATTGCAGATTTGAACCTGGATTTGAATTTGCAATTCAAATTGTAGATTTGAATGCATATTGGATTTGAACCTGGATTTGCAGTTTTTCAAATTGCAGATTTGAACCTGGATTTGCAATTTCTCAAACTGCAGATTTGATCCTGAATCTGAAATTTTTCAAGTTGCAGATTTGAACCCAGATCTGATTTGAACCTGGATTTGCAGTTTTTCAGGTTGCAAATTTGAACCT